TATATAAAGGAAATAATCATTAAAAACCTTATTTGAAGAAATGTTTAATACCAGCCTCTGGGGGAAAAAAGCCTTTCTGCCCTTTTGCCTTTGGTGCTGAAACACAACCAAAAGTATTTTATAACGTCCTAATTCAAAGTAAAGCTAAACCAAATTTTTTTATTGTCGAGATTTGTTTGCTTTTTAAGGTCTTCAAGTTTAATTTTAAGGATGCATACCTCACCTCCAATCTTGATGCATAGCAAAACACAAAAAAACCTCAGCTAAAATTAAATAAATTATCTTTTTACTGCAAGATTACTGAACTCTCAAAACAATGGAAATCATAAAAATCACTTTGGACATACAGTATAATGATAGAAACTGTGTTTAAAAACACACAAATCTCTTTWAAAAAGAGACAAATGTGGTAACTAAACATATAAATGGTTTAGTTTCATTTGTGTAATATACATCTATAGCTCAGTCCTCTTCTTTAAACTTCTTCCAAACTCCTTGAAAGCCCAGAAAGATGCTCCACTTTCTGTCAGAAGTTTTCTTAAAACATGAAAAAAAGGGGAAAAATGGGGGCAAGAGGCTGTAAATTTAAAATCTCTTCCTCTCATCTCAGATTTATCACGCTCTTCAAAAGCAGCTCGAATAACTGCTAAGATACCATTTAAGTTTGTTTGTTTTTTTTACTTAAAGGTCACACAGTTTGATCATCTCAGCCTGCACAACCTGGAGCCAGATGTGAGCGGGTCRTGTTCTTTTGCCCAAGCTGACGTCTGACCCGGAGATTTGGACGGAGAATATTCATGGCTGCGTCCTTGCGGAAAATTCCAGGGAGGATATATTTCATGACCGTCATACGACCCTTCCTGTGCAGCACACATGGGCAAACTGCCAYACCATACTGTAAAAATGCTACCAGATGGCCTCCGTATCCTTTTACTGTCCGACGCTGTGGTTCTGGGTTAACTGGGTGACGCCCACTCCGAATATTTTCTTTTTTCTTGCAGCCAAAGCTGTTTAGACTCTCTAAACAGAGGAGCCTGTCTCACAATCTGCTACACAATGATAAAAGCAGATCTGTGTTTGCTGCTGAAAATAGGTCCTCAACAAAGCAGCAGTGAAGATTGTCTGATAATCAGATTAGAGAGTAGCTTTCTGCACTTACACAAGTATTTTCTTTTTTATTATATAAAAAATAAATAAACCCTTTCTTCCCTGTCTTTCTTTCTTTGGGACAATTTGTATTTATTTAATCACAGATGACATTTTTTTTTCCTTTTTGTTCGACTCAAACTGCACAGAAAAATGGTGATGCACTGATTGTACTAATCGTGCTTTTTTATGTCTAAACATCGTCAGAACTGGGTTAAAAAGCCGCTGCCAATCCAAAATTAACTTTTCCAACCTTTGCCGCTGTGCCAAGTTGCACATCAAAAATGTGTAATGTGGGTTGTGTGTCTGTGTTAGAGGGATGGGTGGGGAAAGTTGTCACCAAGGCAACCTTAAAAAAGAAACCTTTCTAACATGTGTTAACACTGTTTCTAAAGAACATTCTTTTCTGAAACCAAATCAAACAGCTCTTAAAAGCTGAACATCTTGAATTTAAATATAATAAATCTTAAAATAGAAACCGGTATGACAAAAGCTAATCTTCAACAACTCAAGCTTTGGGTTTGAATTATTTTATTTTATAAATCTGAATAGTGAATTTTATATTTTTATCTGCAAAAAGAACAACTATGTTAGTGCAGGTTTAAAGTTTTATCACTGTTTTATCACTGCTACAGGGGTGGTTCAAGGGGTGGGGCCACAGGGGCATTGGCCCCAGCTGAAATCTGATTGGCATCCTGAAGTGCCCCTGTCCTGTCACTCATCTGTCCTTTATCTGGGAGTGATGATGGCAGATGCAGTTCCATGTCCAAACACTAGAGGCGCTAATGAGTCAAATAGGAAAGCCCAGCATGAATCAAGCTGACAGGTCTTCTCCTCTTAAGAAAATTTGAACAATCCTGCAGAAAGTCTTTCAACTGACAAATGATGCCCAGATTGTCTCCAATGCTGTGTGTTTGAAAGAATTTTATCTATGTTCAGTAAAAATGTACATTAAACTGGTCAGAAGAATTTATTGTGCAAGCTTTTTTTWAATTACATTACATTACAGGTGTTTGAACATGTGCGACTGGGTAAATGTAAACAGCTTACCAAACCTGGGGATTTGTGTGAAAGGATGTTGAACAAATACTTGCCCCCCTTGATGGTCCCTTATTCATACAAATCCTAGATCCACCACTGCTACTATATTATGAAATATTGAATTAAACCAATTTATATTTTACACTAAAGTGATGTTTCAGAATCTTCGAACAACAATGCGATGCCCTCCGACTCCTCTGCCAGAGTCTTCATCACTTCTCTGCACTGCCGGTCAGAAAACTACTTGAGAAGCACAGAATCAGATTGTAGTTCCTCTTTCTCGAAGCAGTTTGCTTTATTTGTTTGGCGACACATTAGACAGGGGCCCTTCTGTTATATTTTCTGACAAAGGGTTATTGTAGCTTTAAGTCTGATGGAGGTGTTACCACGAGAACCACAGGTGTCACGTCAGCTACCAATGTTAGGCTACAGCTCCCTGTGAGACACGTGGCAATGACTGAGAAYAAAATACAGAAACAAAAATTGTTCTGGGTCAAAGGGTCAAAGTATTATGATGATAATGAGCTTATTTAKTCTTGCTATATGAACATAAAATAGRTTGAYATCAGCAAGATATTAAAWTTTATTTAGAAGAAATTAGGGGTGTCCCGATAGCATTTTTTTCTCAAATTGAGTAGTTCAGTTTGGGTACTGAGCATCGATCCCAAATACTTGCTGAGTTAGAGCTTAAACATTACACAATGACTTTTAAAACTTCTGTTTTATTTAGAACAAGTTGGCTGTCCTTCCTTATTGGGCTGCAGCTCCTCTGACTGGATCAAATTAAATATACATGATGATTTGTTGCAAAATTTTAAAATAAATAAAAAAATGTGAATTTAAAGTTTGAAAATATGCAACTGATAAACTTTTTACTTGAAATGAAAAATGTAACACGCTCAATGGAGTAGCAATACCAGAATTCTAGTAATTAAGGGGATTTTATTCTAGTATGAGTACTTGTAAAAATATACAGGAACACC